GAAAGAGCAGCTGGACAAGGACGGCTTACCTGTACTAGGCCCCAAGAATACAGAACAGCCCCCCAAGGGTTTCCCCCTCGCGACACAACCTTGGCTGGTGCCAAGATCACACCTATAAAATCAGAATCACAGCAGACATATCAACCCAGGCCAAGTGGGGACCAAGACAGACAAAGGGCAATGTGCTCAGAGTCAGCCAGGAGGCAGGGGGGCATACCAAAGAGGTCGTCCTGGGCCAGGGCGTGGAGGATGCGGGAGGCACCGATGAGAGAGCTCATGGATGCTGACAGCGACGTGGCATAGATGCCAATCAACACCAGTGGGGGCCACAGGCTGATGGAGCGAAAGAACCCATAGTCTTCCTGCAGCAGGGTCCTGGGAGGCAGGGAGTGGAGAAGGCCACAGATAATGGCGAAGCATCCATTGCAGGGTCCTCGTGAGGTAAGTGCTCACGACACTGAGGTTCTCTCAACTGACTCCAGCCCTGATTTCAAGGATCAGTGTCATACATCAAATATACCAAAGGGACATACTTGATGTTCATTGACTGTCCTTGGCCTGCCTGGGACTTAATTACCTGGTAGTCATTCCCAACAGTTTAAAGTTATCTTTAAAAAAGTCACAGAAAATGTATATTATGAAACAACTATGTGGACTTCAAAACTTTTTGTACCAGAATAAACTTGTACTTTAATTCCATGTCCCTCTCTCTTTTTCTTTTATTTATTTTATTCATGTGCAAGAGAGAGACATAGACAGATGCAACAGGGTCTCATTACCACGACCCCCTCCCCCCAGCTCTCTGGCTTGTCAGGATCTTGCAAACGAGTTCCCCTGGAGGATTTTCAGGTCACCTCGGGATCTGAACCCTCCGTTGGCTGTGTGACTTCCAGAACTGGAGTTCAGTATGCTACTGCCTGCACCACCAAGACTGGGCCTTTAATTCTGTTTTTCCACAAACTTTTGAAATCCCCTCATACGCACACACACACACAAGAGGCCGAGTACTGATGGAAATACAAGTTGATTAGAAAACCATTCCCCACTGCACCCCCAAACTGTTTACAACAGCAACAGGCTGCTGGCTCCATCTCCCTCCCAGCGGGAGGAACCGCCCCCAATTTCCCTCCACCCTGTCGGCCTGATATCCGCTCCCTGGCGACCCAGATACACCAACCTTGTTCTGACACCCCCACCCCCTCGTGGGTTTGGCTCAGCCTTCCCCTGGCACCTGTCACAGGTGAAGCTGGAGAGGAAGAAAAGCAGGATGTAGATGAAGAAGGTAAAGGCCACGGCAACAATCGTGCCCAGAGGAATTGCCCGGCTGGGGTCCTTCAGTTCTCCTAGAGGGAGGGGAGAAGAGAAGTCAGCCCTCCCCCCCCCCCCCCCCCACCCACCCCCACGAAGGGAG